CGGAGTGGCCCAAAAGTCTGGAAACGGCCAATTATCTCGTAAATTGCTAATCCTTATTGTACAAAATTTGGGGAACTCCTATTTTGGGACACGGAGATTTCAGATGAGATATTTGATATTTGCAATGTTGCCAGATTTGCCGTTTCTCTTATATTATTAGTCACTTTGGTTTTTCAAATTCATCACCCTGTATATTCAGTCATTATGGGAATCTCCTATTTAATACGAGTTCAACCATGTAACACTTACGATTTTATGTAGTCTGGAAGGTCTCAAAGTGTTTCTTATTGCCAATTTTGGCACTAATAAGACAAATTACCTGAAAAATAATTCGTTGTTTTTGTATTCAAAATGTTTTGTCCTTGGTAAATCTTTTTTAAATTTAAATTTGATATATGTTTTTATCACGAGAGAAACGAGACGAGACGAGAGAAAGGCTCTCTCGAGCGAGAGAAACGTCCTCTCGTCGAGACGAGAGAACAGTTTTCTCTCGCCCTACGAGACGAGACGAGAGAGGCCTCTCTCTCGTCTCGTCTCGTCTCGCGGCATCACTACTTAAAATATATAAATCATGGTGAATCATTGTGCTGTTTTTAATTGTGAGTATGGGCGAGAGTCTTCAACATATTAATAGCAGTTTTATAATGCCAAAAAACAGTTATACAGAATATGGTGCAAATTATTTATTGGTGGTATGAAAATAAACATTAAACCCAAATGTTATTTTTCAAGTAAATATGTTTAACGTTTTAAATGATTGTAGGTTATGTAAATAGGTTATTCAACTTTGCCTTTTCTGTAATAAAAAGAATTATTAGTATAAAGTTTTACTATATAAATATTTCGTATTAGTTATCCTGTCTCCTTGGTACTAATAATGTTATGACTTGGACCCTATTATAATGTGTTCATGATGTAAATTTCATATACATAGGTATTTCTTTTGATATTTTTCTTACCCTGGGAATAAATAATATCTTTGACTTATTCCTTTTAGCCTGATTATAATGCTAGAAAGTTGTATCTGGTTACATGAATCAAATAGATACTATGATAAATTTAGTTTACTTGTAGCCTTTTTATTTTTAAGTGTTAAATATACATTTGTTTAATAATAATCATCCCCGAATGTGTTTTGTTCCAGTTCTTTAAATGTATTTACTAGGTTTTTATAGAAGTACTAATTTTAAATTATTAAAAATTTGAGTTGTAAGAAATATTTAAGATTTTTCAATTCTGTATTTTTATAGGAGTTAATCCCTTTAAGTAAATAAATGTAGTTCGGGGTCGAAGATGTTGGTAATTTCTGTATTGAATAATTTGTACATACACTGGTTAATAATTTAAATAATGTTTTTTCTGATGTACCTAATAATTATTTAAGGTAATCTTGTAGTTGACGGGTCTAGAAATCCGCATATTCACACCACTCCTCACTGAAGTCTAGAATTTGACACAAATTTGAAGTTAAAAATAATGATCCTATTACTTGAAAATCTACAAATTTTTTTTATTTTTAATCGATGTAAAAATTGGTAAATACATGATAAAAAGTAAAAGTTATTTCAATATGCTTATATGTTACGATTCCAACATAAGTATAATCTATAGCCTAATCAGCAAGTAGGTACTTTCAACTTTATTTAGAGGTAAAAACCTGGCCCTTAATTTTAATATAATTGTGGAGAATGGAGACTACATTCGCTAGGGATTGGGGAATAACGAAGATCTAACTACTATAATGACTAGGGTGTATCATTTATTAGCAATTTTTTTTTTCAATTAAAAAACAGGCTAAAAACTTTCAGGAAGGTGAAAAAAGAAGCCTCTAAAAATTTGAGCTCTTAATATTATCATTTAGTGGTGCCTGTTCTTAATTTTCCATTTTCCATCTAAATAACATGGACATTTTTTTTTCTTTTTTCTTATTTTTGTAGCTTGATATTTGAGCATTGTAAAAATAAAGTGAAACATTAGTTTAATAGGAAATTGAACGCTCTACAAAAAGTTCTAATATATTTTTTTCACAGAGTGAGCCGTTGCAAATGTATGAAATTAGGACTTTTATTTTATTAAACTGATGACTTTTTTATGTCTTAAAAATTATTTTCAAGAAAACATCATTATTTTCATATAGAAAGAAAATAACGACGCACAGAAGACAAAAATTCGCCAGAAATATGTTTAAACAAAAATATGAATGACTTTGTTTCAAAACAATCATTAAGGTGATTACAGCACCCCCTTATAATTTTCGGACAAGGATATCTCAAAAAGTAATTTTTTTAGAAAATTTAAATTTGGGCAAAATAAATAAGGCAATAATATCTAGAATATGCATATTTTTAAAGTTTTAATTCCTTCCAGTTTCCGAGAAAAAAAGCAAAGGGCTTTAAATTTTAAAATATCATAATGAAAATAAATGCATTCCTCAAGAGCAGTATTCTTAATATAATCCCCAAATTTAAGCTCTTAATCTCTTGTTAATGATTTTTTTAAAATTCGCCGAAATTAGTGGCTAAAACGCCTCGTTAAGTGCTTCTTTCCAGTGTAACGCGTCTGTAACTATCGTATCGTACACTCTAAATTATCATTCATTTCTTGCAACGATTTACCCCAGTTTACACCAGTTTAAACCAGAAAATAGCACTTCACAAGCCGTTTTAGCCACTAATTTCAGCGAATTTTAAAAAATCATTAACAAAAGGTTAAGAGCTTAAATTTAGGGATTATATTAAGAATAGTGATGTTGAGGAATGCATTTTTTTTTCATTATGATATTTCAAAATTTAAAGCCCTTTGATTTTTTTTCTCGGAAACTGGAAGGAAATAAAGCTTTAATATATATGCATATTTTAGATATTATTGCCTAATATATTTTGCCAAAATTTTAACTTTTTTAAAAAATTACTTTTTGAGATATCCTTGTCCGAAAATTATAAGGGGGTGCTGTATTCACCTTAAAACTTTTTGACAAATTTGATTTGCCGTACGACTTTCTGGATGCAGATGTCCTAATTTGGCCAGATAATGAAAGTTATCAAGAGAATTTGGAGTTTTTCGAAAAATTGAAAGTTGTCAATGACGTTGTAGGACATGGCGTCGCATTAGTAGAATAATATAATAGATGCCTAACTGAAGATGAGGAATAATTTTAATATTTGTTACAAGTGGTAAAGGAGCACCGACGAAAATATCCAAATTGTAATAAAAAAACTTCAACAAATATAGTTACATCATTTAATTCTGATAAGACATTAAAATATCTATTAGTTTCAAAATTTTAGTATGCTAATTGTTAAAAAGTTTTTTTAATCTATAAAATAATAATTTTACTGAACCTAATTCATAATTACTTTTGTTTAACAGTTAATCAAATAATATCTAAGATGTATTTTTTTTATTTTAGCTTTCTAAAAAGATTAGCGCATAAAAACCAGTTTTCTGATTAAAAATAATTTTTAAGACATAAAAAAGTCATCAATATTAGTTTAATAAAATAAAAGTCCTAATTTCATAAATTTGCAACTTTAAGTTTGAATATCTTCAGAACGGCTCACTCTATGAAAAAAATATATTTAAACTTTTTGTAGACCGTTCAATTTCCTACCAAAATAATATATTCTACCAATCTCATTTTTTCCAAAAAGTGCAGTTACAACCTTGTTATTCTGTGATACCGATATTAATAAAAATAATAATTGATGTAAGTACTTACTGATCTTTGGAAACTCCAGTGAGACTTCATTATTCTGGTATAATGCTACTTCACAGAAATGTTTGTGATTTCAATCACTATGTTTGGATTTGATTATAGTAGGTAATAAACTAAATGTTTATTGAATATTTAATCTGGGCAATGAAAATCACAAAACTCACTTTAAAAATAATAAGCTTCAATCTGAGTACCATAGTTAAGGTCCACTTCTTCATTTTATAATCAGTAACCCACTGTATTGCTGTTTTTGCCAAAGCCAAAGGTAATACCTATTTGAACACAAAACAAAATCAGCTGTTTTTTTATAATAAACACCCCATTTCACTTATTTAGCAGTAACTTGTAACTTAATTGGAGCATATTTAATAAATCTTACTTTTTTTTGATCGTATAAACGCACACATCAGTGTAGCTTGTTTAAAAAAAACACTTATAAGCAACCATCAATAACAATAAACTTATTTGTTGATCCCTAATTTTTTCATCTTTACTTCTTCTGATAGTTTCGTCATTTTTCATTTCATATAAACTCGAATTTTTACCATAGAAGAATGTTTTTATGATTGCACTTTTTCTGACAGATAAAAATATTGCCGCAATTTTCCGCCGTAACGACAACATCGAACCTAGCGGATTTTTGCCCTAAGTACGCCTGGTTTTGGTTTGTTTTTTTCAGGGAGTTGAAACACCTTTATAGTACACCGTGGCCTAGTCAGAACATATGTGCTTATGGACTAATCTCTATTAATTAAACAATCCAAGTTACACATAAAAGTATATCGCTCTATCTTAATGTAGAACAAATAGACTTTTATTTTCTAAATGCACCCAAGCGAAAGATAGCCTATATCAAGTTCAATCACCCAATAATACTTAGACACAAAGTTCGCTCAATCAAATGTGGTATCGCCGAGACTACCCCCCTCCCTCTCCCTACCGCCAATAAGTTTGTGCATGCCATGTTCCAAACACGAGGAAATACTCCAAACGAAGAAGAATCGAAAAATCTGGTCAATGAACATTTAGTACTCAACCTCAAGAGGACGAACTTTGTTGAACTCTTATAGTGTAGGGCTGTCGTGAAAACTTTAGTGCAAATGGAAGTTAGCAGGTTTAGCCACGTATATAATATACAGTACAGAATAAATAATGTACCTAACATTTCTGATTAAAAACAAAATGTTGAATAATTTTCTGATTAGGTGCATTACTGCATTGTAAATAAATATAACAAAATTTATACTAGATATTACATTTTGTTCAGTTTTGTATTTTTTTTTAGGTTTGTGTCAGTGCATGTCCTACAGAAGCTTACGTAGATACTGCAACATCACAAAGACCAAATCAGTTTTTAGATTATTGTGTTAATTCTAACAGCGATCTAATATGTCCAAATTGGATATTACCTAGTACTGCATGTAAGTATCTATTACAATTTAGTTCATTCCAATTAATAGTAATTATAAATAAACAGTGTGGTACTCCATCCACTTAGTTGAAGGATAAAGATTAATTTGTTTACTTTTCGCTAGAAGATGATTAGTTATAGAGCTAAATCGTTATTCTATGATTTACACATATCCCTTTCAAGTAGTCATTTTGTTTTAAGATTATGCAGCGTATCTTTACCCATCGTAAATAATATGCAATCGAAATAAGTCCAGATTTATTAGGCGAAACAATGTCTGTCTTGAAATCTGAAGAGTACCTATATTGATATCTAGAGATTATTTTCAATTATCCCTTCTTAAATTTAATTCAAATGTCTTCTAATGTCACATTTAATTTTAAATGTATCCTGTTAGATTTTGTTTCCACAATTTCTTCAAAAACCAAGCATTCTGGTAAGCACATATATTTAAATAGGGCAGGTTTATGTTTCCTAATATCATATGTTTTAAAATTTCGCCGATTTCATGCCAAGTATTATCCGTTTTATTGGGTTATAAATCTCGCTTATTATATAAATCCAAGATAAGCAACATGTTCTTCTGACTCCACTCCTTGAAAAATAAAATGGGAATTGCTATATTCTGTTCGGTACGCTATATTCTGTTCGGTGCTGTATGGTGGTACAAATTACTCGTACATACTGTGCTCATGCTGCGTAAATGAAGCAGTTTGTCGCGTTTCGGATGCTTGTCCACTAGACATGGGTAACGCAGCGCTGCGTTGCGTTATTGCGTTAACGCAGTTGTATGCGTTACGAGCGTTGATACACCAACTGTTACTGTATCAGCGCAACGCAATTTTCGATACTGAGTCGAAAGGATCGCGAGTTGTTGATGCGTCATGCGCCAGGCACTGATTCCATTTTCCGTGACGAGTTGAGAATTGTAATTTACGTAATTGATGCAACTCGTAATACAGATTACCCAAAATCTATCAAGTAATTATGTTCTTTGCAACATGTCACATCATTTGTAGGATTGTAGGTCGAATTTTATGGATTTTAACCTTGTACACTGTAAGTTTTTAGTTCTTCCCATTTTGATTAGCTACTAGTATACAAAAGTTATATCCTTTTTATATAAATTGGAATTTTTGTATTCTTTGTAAAATCCGAACACAATGAAATAAAAAAATGGGTGCATTACACTGTCATATTTTCGTTTATTTTTAAACATAGAATAAAAAAAAATTAGTTAAATTCCCAATTGCGTTATTGTCTTGAACACGGTTTGACCCTTATAAAAGGACAGCCCGCGCTGAATAACACCGGTATTCGGTATCATGCGATACACCGAGGTGCATCGACTTCTTTCGGCGCAGGCAGTGGTGTGACGCAATAACGCAATTGCGTTAACGCAATGAGTTGGCGCAATAGAGTGCGCCGGAGTTAGTGTATCAACGCAAAGAATTTTAGTGCGTTACCCATGTCTATTGTCCACATCTGTATGCTCATGCGTCCTTGGCTTGCTTCATATATGCGTACGTGCTTAGATATGTATCCACCTTTATAGTTCAGATGCCTTTGATGCTTTAGCCTTAGAGTTTAAGACTCAACTTCTAAACTATAAAGAGTTGTTTGCTCTATTTTGTTTCATTAATAACTCGTTAAAATTATGAGAGGGTTATTCATAAAAGAAACAATAAACCCATTAACAGAAGTCTGAACTTATAATCAAGTGTGATATCAGAAAATGATAAACAAATTAGATATTTTAAATCTAGAATATGCCTCGATTAGAAATTGTCCTTTGTAAAGCTCTTTTGAGTAATCGGTCATCACAACACCATACTTCACTGCTTAATAGACAAAATAATAACTAGAGTTGTCCGGCTTTTTGATAATGTGCCCCATCTGTACATATTGATTGAAACAAAGTACAAAATCTGGACTTAGGCACAAATTAAGTTCTTCAATAATGCCCGTATCCCATGACACAACATTGATGTCATAAGTTGGCTAAAAATAACATTAATCAATTTTGTATAGTAACCCTAAAACAATGGCAGTGGCGTATTTGACAGAACTGACACTGAAGTTAAAAGTCATTAGGTTGGGTTAGGTTTAAAATAAGTGTGATGATATCATCGACTTCCACTGCGACCCAAATGGATTAATTGTGGCTCATGTCTAAATCGTAGTTAAAATTATTCTACTCTCTCGCTCCCAATTTAATGGCGATCATTTATGCTTGGAAGATAATGGTCAGAGTGCCCAGGTTTGTTGATATGCCAACTCTTAGCCTCTACCCACCAACGGGAGTCTGTAGGACATCATCCTGATCTCCCTTTTCAGTAAAATGTGGAGAGGGGTTTCATCCAGCATGGTCTCCATGGCTACCATCGATGTGGTTACAGTTCGTTGTCTCACTAGGTGATCGAGCTGTTCGTAACCATGGATTTTATCGCGGTTTGGTAATTCAGTTTTGAGGACTGATTCCCATGCCTTGCCACATATCCTTCTGATGGTCCAGAGGGATAAATTAACTTTTTTGTTGTTTTTTTCCAATTGAGGGTTTCAGGTGAGTTTCTTATCTAGGATAATCTACATATATTTCACCTCTTTTGCAAAAGGAATGGGTTTGCCGGAAAGGGTAGGTTGCCGAAGCTTATCGAGTTTTATTCTCTTGGTGAATGGGACGATAACAGGGTTTAAACAGCGTCTGATCTATCTCGCACCAGCTGTTGATCGTATTTAGAGCTTGTTAAAGGATGTTGAAGATCACATAGCATAACATTGGAAGTCTGCCCTCTGCCAAGAGAGATCGTCTCGCAGGTTATCTACCAGAGTGTTCCACAGTAGGGGTGAAACTATTCGGCCTTGTGGACATTTCATAGCAGGCCTGAAAGTAGCTTCCTCTTTTAGCAGTGATGATGTTCCAATTTCCAAGCATATTTTTGATCCAGTTATGGGTCAGTTTGTCAATTCTTCTTCTTTAATTAGAAGAGAACAGAGACTGCAGAAGAGCCTACTATGTCTATGAAGGCACCCGGCTCAATCTCCTCTTTTCATTAAGAAAAACCATTTTTATTAAATTTCTTGTTTTATCAGATCACGTGGGATACGGGTTATAAAAATAAATAAAAAACTTAATTTTTGGCACTTGATTTATTATGCTATTACGAAAAGGGGCACAATATAGTAGGTACACTTGGCCTATCGCCACAATTTTTCAATCTCCAATAAGATTTACACTTTTAAAACAAGTTTTGGCCTGCCAACCATTCCCCAACGTCACATAATATGACGTTCATCATTTGTGGAAAATTATTTATCTTCCAAGTGTTTCTTATGTAATTAAAGAGAAGATAAATTACTAAAGAAATCGTCAGCTGCTTGGTCATCCCCACTTTGCCTTTAGTTTCATTCTGCCTACAGTTTCTACTTTACCCCACTTCTTGGTGAGATTGAAACTTTTTCCAGTAATTATTCAAGGTTGGCTTGAAGTTTGCTAAAGCTTTTATATGTATCCTTAGGAAAATGTAAGTACCCTTAAAAATACTGGACAAGTAAATATTTTCATTTCATATGCAGTTCTATACAGATGTTTGTACAACGTTGCTGATCGTAGAAAGTTACGTAATCTGAAGATTTCCCGAATTGATGGAGATGAAATCTCATTAGCGAAACAATTTCTCGATCCCGTGCGCCTATTGCTCAACCTAGGGGTCGAAGGATCCATTACGGTTTTTACTAAGGACGAGAACGTTCTACAGGTATATACAAAACATAGCAACATAGCGACTTTTTTCTTGTTTCATTTTATTTAGTTCAAAGCTTTCAAAAATCTAAAAAAAATATCTCTAACTTAATAGAAGTTTCTTCCAGTTTGCTTTACTTAATACAGGGTGGACTCCATTTAAGTTCTCTATAAGAATAGGGACTTCGTAAACTTATCTCCGCTGGAGACTCAAGAGCGAAAACTGTTGGGTATTTTAGGGTATAATTTGACAAATTTAAAATACTAGTGTTGGATTAAGAGAAATTTATTTTCGTTTTTATTATTAGAATCGAAAAACCTGCTAATATCATTAAGTGCTCCCCTGATGGCACATTATATATTTTAGGTTGCATTGATATCTATAGTACTCCAAGTATTTTTTTCAAATACGAAGTTGTAAATAAAAATCAAAAACGCCAGACATTTAGTTTTTATATATTTTTCTTAAACACCACTACTGATATATTTAAAATTTTATTAGTTTTATTAATTTTTTCAATTTAATCAAATTAATCTCTTCGCTGATTTACGAAATCCCTATATAGGAACATTAAACCTGACCACCCCGTAAAAATATATATATATATATATATATATATCTTTTAGAAGTAGAATATCTTGTTAAACAAATATTTGCCTTTTTTTCACTTAATCACTAACTAATTTTTCACGCGATGGCACAAAGTAGAAATTGTAGACACTATTAGTGAAAATCCTAAATAGGTAGAGGGTCTTTGGTGGAAGAGCTAAATAATTTTATAATTATTAAGATAAATATTTTTTAATTAGGTGAAATTTTTAAAATATAGTCATTTAATTAAATAAATGTTCTTGTATATCTCCACAAAAATCGGTTCCTTTTGATCATACGATCAGGATATTTTTTGTTAGTTTCTTTCTCCCTTCTTCTCTCAGCTCAAATTCAAGAATGGAGTAGAACTCATCTACGCATTTTAACGGATTTTACGACAGGTCTTCAAAACCACATGATGGGTCTACATTCTCCAGCTGGAGACTACAATTAGAAACACCTGACATAGAAGCACCTGACATGTGATTGGTGCACCATTAATAATCTAGCTAAACCTATGGTGAACCTAGCTAAATTATTAGACACATTATGTGTCTCAGAAACTGTTAGAACGGTCTGTTTGGTTATCCTGGCCACATATCCTGAGACTTCACAGAATCAGCTTTATTCTAGATATTCTCTTTGAATAAAAATCTGATATCCCTAAGTATTGGAACTACCAATGACTTGCTGCTGGAGAGTCAATTCAATTAACAACAAAATTAATAAACGTATCAATTGGTGTCTATTGGCTACAATAATATTTAACAACATTTTTTTATATCTTCAGTTCAAAAACGCTGCATTCCTGCCATGAATAAAGTGACTGATTCAATAATTAATGACATAAATAATAATACAGCCGAAAAAGTAACTTTACCTGAATTATTCCAATCCGTAACCAATATTAAACTTCTTTCTGACGTTGAAGAGGTATGAAAAAATATAATGTATTATATGTGTGTTTGTTTTGTTTAGGACTCTGCAAAGTGACTTATATAGCACAATACTTTAATTCAGTGTAAGAATATCAAATATAATTTAAAAATCCTCAAGCCAATTAAATTTGATATATCGAATATCGTACGATCTAGGAAAGCAATATTATTTGGTGAGTTTGTTTCAACAATCCTAGATACACTTTTAGACAAATTTATTGTGTATTTTTTAAATTGAAAACCGTTAAACAAACTATTTTTAATTCTTTAATTCAATATATGTATTATTTTATGTAATGAGTGAATATTTTTCCGCAAAAAGTTACACAAAACGGCATTTCGTAACTTGTTATATATAATATTTTTTCTAATTTTGATTAGAATATTTGTAAAATTGTGTTTGATAAAACATTACTAACATTTATGCAACCAATATTATTTTCTTGTGTATTGTTAGTTGACTATGCATAATTTAATTAATTTCATTAACAAATAGAAAATCATATTAATTTATTCTCAATGACTTGTTATCGTGTGTTTATATTGCTTGTTAAAGGTATTTAGTTTATGCAACTGGTTGCATAAAGTAGATCATTTTGACACTTGCTGCGAATACAAAAAAATGTCACTATATGTCAACATTAAAATTAAACTTTTTTATAATTTTGACGTATAAAGTGATATTTTTTGTAATCGCAGCAAGTATCAACATAGTCTTATTTAACTGGTTGCGAAAAATCAATTATGTCACCAGTTGCGAAAAGAAAACTAATAAAAACAAACCTTTTTTTGGATTTAAAATCAATATATAAATATATACACACAACGAAGTAATATTGGTTGAATATATGTTAGTAATGTTTTACCAAACACAATTATATAAATAAATAAGTCTTAATTAGAAAAAAATATAGTATGCATGTTACTCGTTCATTTTGCGAGATCTCGCTCTGCTCGTCCCGCTTTTGTAACTGGACAGATTAATTTAAATTAAAAAGAAAGATAACAGAAGTGCAGTAATCAAAATATAGCTGAATAATTGAATGGTATACTATAACTTTAGTCTAGAAAGTATTGCAAAGAAGTAAAGTTTTTTTGATATATTATTTTAAACATTGTCAAAATGATCACCGAACAATAAAAAATTATCTCTCTGAAATCGAAGGTACTTAATCGATGTTACAATATCAATGTTTTCATTGTTAATTCTAAGACTGGTTGCGTTTAGATCAATATTGTTGGTTTGGGTCTTATGATACCTAAGTGCTGAGAAGAAAATGAATAAAATCAAAAATAAACATTTAAATCATTTACATACAGAATAAAGAAAAAGGGTCCTAGAACACTTCCCTGAGGTATACCTGTATTAAGTCTGGATTCAGATGAGGTAACACTACGAAACTTTACCTTTTACCTTCTGCTTTCTTTCGATTAAATACTCAGATAACCAACCATAAACATTTCAATAATTAATGCCATATCCTTTCAATTTAGACGGTGGCATATTTACGAAAGAAATACATTTACAACATAAGGTCAAGTTGGTTAACTGGAACCTAATTTTACAACACTTAAATTTGCAACTATGTACGAGACGAACCTGCAAAGAAAATTGGTCAAGATTCTATGGGTATGCAATTTAGACCTTTGTTACTTTGAGGTAATTGGAACGTTTCATAAAGCATCACAAATACTCGTTTACAATTTCATTAATTTATCTTAAAAAATAGCCGAGAAAATCAAGATGTTAAAAATTCTCTAAGTATTGAAGAAAAAACGTTTTATTCAAAATAAGTACTTAAACAACAAATGAAACAACTAAACTAAAGTGGTGTATGAACTTATGTAAAGTACTTAATGCTATTTTTTCATTTCAGGTACCATATGTGATCCCCTATTATTATTTTGTAGGGGCTCATGGATAACTTTGAACTATTTCGTCATATGCTAAGATTTTGGGCTTTTCAGGCCAACGCCAAGCAAACATCTCACTTTTTACCATGTGAGATATGATGATTTCTGTGTCTTTTATTTGCAACACTTTTCCAGGATACATTTCCATATTGTACCTAACAAGCACAACATCACCCTTCACGACAGCCATGACATTTTCTGCATCCTCATCCGACATCAGTTCTATACAATCTTCTGAATCATCTTCACTACTTTCGGTCTCACTTTTAGTGTTCTTCTATTTTATATTTTTTTTTATATTTATTTGGAATTTTTTCTCTTTCGAAGGATCTATGTTTTGGATAGAGTTCACTTTTTGAGCTATTTTCTTAGACTTTATTTCTGCTCGGGCTTTCTTTTTCTCCTCTTCCAGTTTTTTATTTTCCTCTTCTAGTTTCTTTTTCTGTAAGTAGTCTGATGTTGTTATAATTTCTGCCCCATTGCAGATATTTCTTCTCTTTTGTGGTGTCGGATATTCCGATTTATTGTTTTCATTTTTTAGTAGTTCAACCACCAGACTTTCAAAGGGATTAAGACAAATATTGCTTTGGGTGTTTGAAGGTCCAAGTTTGTCTTCAGGCATCAACTCCTTTTTACCTTGTTGCTCATTCACTATATTTATTTGCTGTTCTTTGTTAACTAAATCTTCCATTTGATGAATTGTTCCATTTTCCTCGTTTTCATTAATTTCTTGCTCTTTCGTTCCAATAATCACCTTGTTTTGTTTATCGCGGTGGTTATATTTTACAAGATCTTGCTGTGAAAATATTGTTTCAGGAGCTTTTGTTCGATCTGGTTTACCTGTATCTAAATTATAGATACTTGTTGCTTGAAACCCATTTATAATGTTCTGTTTAGGCATTTCCAAAAATTCTTTGTCAAGAAGATGCGTAAATTCAGTTTTGGGAATTTTTCTTCTTGAGTCATTTACAATGACCATTTACAATAATTTTTATCCCATGTCGCTTTCATTCTCTTAAATACACCAACATCGAGTACATATATCATTATCAAGGGCTTCTTGGATCACTTTACACGAAATATGGGTTGTATGTCCATCTACAATTAAAAGGATCGGACGTTCCTTTGGTATGTAAGGTAAAAAACATTTTCTAAACCAATTCGCAAATATTATGGTCGTCATCCATCCCTTATCCGAAGCGGCCATAGCAATTCTATCTAGTGGTTCAAGTTTTTCAGGTAACATCGACTCGATAACATTTTTTCCCTTGAAAATAGTTAACAAAGGCAATTTCTGGCCTGATGCTGAACAACATACTAACACTGTGGTATTTTCTCTGCCGCATGTAGATATAGTCCTTGTAGCTTTTGTACCCACTGCCCCAAGAACTTTTGTTTTTGAAGGGTCACTGGAGAGGGATGTTTCGTCGCAGTTGAATATTTGTTCAGGTCGATTCTATAACTTTAAGTTCAAAATTGTTTCTTCTAGAAGATCAAAGAAACCGTACATTGTCCAAGGGGTTTCTTGCCTTTTTCTAGCCACCTCTACTACTTGAGCTTTTTTGAGAGATAGCTTATTTCTTTCACAAAAATTCAAGGACCATTGTTCTCCGGGACGATTATTTTTTAATTTTGTAATATTTAAATTTCTATTTTTCAAATATAACTGCACTTAGTCCAACGTCTCTTGGCGTGAAAGCCCATATCCCCACTTTTGCATTGTATTTAATGTAGAAACTAGTTGCTCTTCCGCTTCTTTAGTCAAAGCATTTTTTCCTCCTCCTCTGTGTCCTTCTTTAGCCAAAATACCAGTTCCTCTTGTACCTTTAATATAATGTCGTAAGGTTGACTTGGGAATGTTATAAAATTTTGCTGCGGTGTACATGGATTTATTAGTATTTTTAACGCCCTCGGCAGCATGAATAAGAGCTTCTCGGGAATATCGTTCACCATCTGCCCCTTTTTTGGGTACGACGCTGGTAATTACGCACTATTATGTCCTGAAAATTTTAGAACTGTCACTTTTATGCACGTTTACTATTTGCAGTAGGACAAAATAGAAGATAAACGTTAAAATATCAAACTAACAGTTACAATACAAACTGTATTGGGTAACTGAAACCTACATACCCAGTTACCCGAAAACTTAAGTTCCAGTTGCCTCATCATATCGAATTTACCAAGGCAGCTGGAACCTATTCAGTCAACCTTGTTTTCATTAATATAACCTTAAAATGTTAAAATGAATTACACTATAGATGCTTTTTCTTATACCAGGCCGATTTTCATGTTAAAAAAATGTATTATTGTACTTACTGCGATTTTTTTAATACGTCAGTGCACAACGTTATTCTTCTACCAAAAAAATACTCTAACATGCATATTTTCGTTACGATACTCAAAGCAAGAACTTAAAAATTAGATGTAACGGAAGCTTTGGGATGATAGCTGTCATGTTACAAAGTTACCTCCAGGTTCCAGTTAACCAACTTGACCTTAGTTATCATTATCTAGCTCCGTTTTAAATTTGCACAAAGAAAGGTGGATAGCTGCCTCACATGAAGATTTTTTTTTGTTTTTTTTTATAAAGATATTGTAACGGCTCAACTACAATGAGCAGGTATCTATCCAAGTTGTCACTATTATTGAGAAGCGGAGCTGCGGTACTGATTACCCAAAAAACTTAAAATACATACCTACTTAGGTACTTTTAATTAACTTTAAGTACCCCAGATAATCCGAATACGGTACTAAAACTTAGTACTAAAATTTGGTTTAGATCCTATTTTAATTTAATTTAAAAGATGCCAAATACTTAAGTACACCAAGTATATTTAAGTATTCTAAAAAGTAGTATCCATTACTAGAACAAAAATGACATGTATCCAACAATACCTTCGAGAAGTTGAAATGATTTACAATGAATGGATTCGCAAAGAAAAGAAGACACTTGGAATGGTGATGGTGAAGATTTACAAAGAAGGAAACGTAATAATGAAGAAATAATCACGCAAAATAGATGTACGGAAGGAAGTAGAAGAAATTATACGTCTATCCAGAGAAGAATAAACGACAATGGGA